CATCCAAGATGCAATAAAACATTAATTACACGTTTTTATTGAGTGTTTAATGTTTTTATTGAGTAGGGATGAAGCCAGTTTATAGATAATTTGCGACTTTAACTATTATATTTATAAATTTTTAATTTAAGGATCTCTTACAGATTTATTTTTACCCTGAACTTCTCGTGTAATGCGTTTTATGATTACGCGTTCCAATATTAAACGAGGTTAATGGATAAACCGTTGAATTACGTTCGCTGTCATTCATTATAACTGTCGCGTCGACATTTTTCTTTGCTCGGCATAATCGGGTCGCTTTGCGAGCTTTGTTGTTGCTTCTCTAGCCGTCGGCACACTCGACTAGCATGTGGATAAAAAAATTTTCGCGCCGTTTAGCAAGAACGACGTGCAACGGATCTTCAGCCGTGGAAGCGCCACGGCTGGCTGGAGAGATCGGAGTGTTGCATGCGCGTGACCCAATATGGAGAAATTGAGTCTCTCCCCGTTATACACCTACGTATTATTCATCAACCGCTCAAGTGGCAATGCTAAGATTGATTGACTAGGCGATCGGCATAAGTAGAATACTGCATTCTTCGCGAATAAACGCGCAATCATTGATCGTCTCTTCGATCGCACGTCGTTATCCGCGGATGCAAAATGTTGAAAGAATAACATGTTTTATCCGTTTACTCAGAAATAATATATAGATTATACATAGATATTATATAGATAGATGTAATGAAATGAATGAGATTTTTTAATGAATTATCAATGAAAGCTTTTCACTTTTAATTTGCATTATTATTTTATGTCGATTAATACAAAACAAATAATAAATCGGGACAATGCTTGCGCCATAATTATAGTGCAATTCTGTTTTATTTATCGACAATTTGCGAAATGCTTTATTGTTTGTCGCAGTTAAAATGTTAAACAATCACGACGCAAAATTTAATGATAGCTTGAATAAATTTGTCACATACACATATGATCACGTTCTTAATTAAGCACAGGTATTCACTGATCCTACTTACATCAACAATGTACAAGCATACATGTATAGATTAGACGTCTATACTTTTTAGAAACGAGTAAAATTGGAAATTGACAGCTTAATATTGAGAACAATAGTGTGTTTTAATATTGTTTCATTCTCTTTACACAAATTAATACTGATCGGTTCAATGATCAATTTATTATTGAAAAACGGTAATTAATTACTTATTCGTAATACTGAACAGTGCTTTTAATACTTAAAATAAGTAATTAATTGTTGTCTTTCAGTATTAAATTGGTTAGTATTAATTATTAATTTCTGGAAGGATTTATTTAATAAAAAAATATAAGAGAGTTACAGTTCTCTTTTATTAAAGTGCTTTTTTTTATAAAATTTTTGTGATGAAAAAAATATTACAAAGAATAAAAAAGGATTGTTTATCAATAAAGATAGAAAACTAAAAAGAAAAACTAGGAGAGAGATTATTCTTATATATTTTATACATTTGTACAGTTTTATAATAAAAAATAGTGAATTGATATTAATTATTAATAACTAGGACAAGAACAAAATTTTTTCGGCTTTTTTAGTCAGGATGAATGATTGGCTAAATGAATAAATATTCGAAAATGAATGCATGATTAACGAGTCTAATTTATTACGAACACATTGCCGAATCGTGCCAAGCTTTATCGCGAGAGCCATTTTTCAGACATCTGCGACGGTTGAAACAATCGTACAGAGCTATTTGTAAACGCAGTAGCTTATCGAATCATAAAACCTGCGTGTATCATATACGTGGCAGACTCATGGGAATTTGTAAATTGCTGGCGAAATCCCGAGGAATTTCTCGTATGAATTTGGCACCATTGATTACGTGACCTAGTTTAACTGCGTGAACGTCATCGACGTCTTTCTATATTGATGTATTGATAAATAAAATCTGCTAATGTTGACGTGACAGTTTATGATACACGATGTCTACGATGCTGATTAGATTTCTCATTGTGGTTGTAACGTTATTCAGGGTACTGAATATACTCCGAATCTCCAGAGGAGATTCCGAGGACGTCCTCGGAATCTTCTACAGGACGTCCTTAAAATCTCGCGGGACGGAAATAGAATGTCCTGAGAACGTTCTCAGTACCCGTCTTGTAGTGATTAAAAATTATATTCATAAAAGTTAGTCTAGCATTCAAGTAATTATTAAACATAAACATTGCATATAAAGTCAGTTCATAATAATATAATTTAGATAATTTTTTGAGAAGATCAAATGAATAAACTATATAAATGTTTTTCATATTTCTCAAAAGAAAATAATATTATAAGATGCAGATCAGAAATATGAAAAATTTAAAGATAAAAACTGTTGTTAAACTTAGTATTTCTACATCGTACATTATTGGTAACCTTTTACTGATAATATTGGATTTAAAAGCACAGTCATTAGTTTAATTGCGAATTTTAGTAGAAAAATTTTAATTTGTAAAATAAGTAAAATGCAATCTAATTTTTATGACAGTAAAAGTTTGTTATTAAAGCTTTTATAAGTATTTAAGAATTTTTTCAAATTTTTGTACAATCCGGAACAATATAAAAATCTGCACTGAAATTCAAAGATCCAGGATGAAAAATGAAAATTTCACTGCCAAGTAGGAGGTTAATGCAGCAGTAACATGCTACAATATTGATGTTGCAATATTGATGCATAACAGATGTTCCTATCATTCGAGAATTTTTGATACAGATATCGATTTAAAATTTTTAAAGACACGAGAAAATAGATCAGTTGATATCTGTATCAAAAATTCTGGAATGAGAGGAAACATCCATTATGCATTAATAGCAACGCTGTAACATGTTACTGCTGCATTAACAACGTAGAATGCTCTTCCAATGATTTCCGTATGCATCACTGAAATTATGTCGTTAGTTATCTGTGCCGCATGAGTTTTGGCGACATTAATTCACACGCATGTCCATTCGGAAAAACTAGATATCTATTTGTATAAGTATATTGAATATGGTCGATGTACATATCGTAAATACAAATAGTTGAGAAGACACCTGATTTAGTCAATTTATTCATCAGATAAACTTATTGTACATAGCTAATCGAGCCAATTGTGCAGATATTATTTGTATAAAATGATCAATTGTAATATTATTACGTATAAGTATAATAATATTACGAGATAGGATATGTATAGTATAAAATATATTGATATATATATATATATATATATATAATATATATATGTATGTGTGTGTGTGTGTGTGTGTGTATACATAATTAATAGTGCAAGCTCCATTAATTGATGTTGCTAAGATCAAAGATCTGTTTTTATGCACTTACTTTGTAACGAAGATACTTCTTCTTTCTTTTTAATTATCAAAGCAACGAAGATTGTAATTTCATGACGCTGTTAGTTCAAAGCGTTTTAAAATATATGGACGAGAAAGTAGTTTGCTTTTAAATTTAAATTTTTGTTGGAAAAATAATTAATTCTATTATTATGATTAGAATATATCTTATTTTTTATTATTATTTCTTATTTTTAGATATATTTAATATTTCCGTACATATAAGAAGTATTCCAAAGTTCTTACAATTTCTTTTAATTAGTAGTAAAATATTTTAATCTTTTTCATAATTTCTTATCTCATGCCACATTTTTAATCTTTTAAAAACAATTTTAATAAATAAAGGCCATTCCTTATTAATAAAAAATTGAAAATAAAAATTTATTTTTTTAAGTGTTTTTTTGCGATTATATATACTTTGCATTATATAATAAGTTTATATACTTCATATATATATATATATATATGTATATATATATATATATATATAAATATAAAAACAATTATGTGTTTTATTATAGATTGCAATTGTTTAACTTGTATCATTTCTGAAAAGAAATTAAAAAATATAATAGATGCGATGTGTGCACCAACAATTTATTTCAGTGTAAAATAAATTGCCTTTAATAATATGTGCCGTCGCTTCATCGCGCTTTGCTTCAAAGCGAGAACACGCATAAGAATGTCCCAAATTGACTACAATACGCACAGAGAGGATTGACAGCGAGAGATTTAATGGAATGCGTTTGGTTTCCTAATACGGAATCGTGTTTATTGCCGCTTCTTTCATACTTTAGTAACCGTTATTAACCTATATCGTAAAAGGTATAATATGAGAAATCGGCATGAAAAAAAGGAACAGAAATAATAGTGATTATCTTCCTAAATTCTTGAGAGTTTCATTTTAAAAGAATGAAAATTCTGCCACTTTTGAAAAAGAGTGACAGAATTTCCAATTTTTGAGAGTTCTCTTTCTTTCTATAAAAATACCAAAATTCCGAAATTAAACGAATTTATGAACAATAACAATAATAATAAAATATTATACTTAAAATGTCAATATTTAAAGCAGTTATTTCGATTTATTGATGTCTAAAAATTGAATGAAGTTGAATTGATTCGTTAAATTTGTTAATGATCCATATTTAAAATTAGAATTAATAAAAAAATATAATCTATTAGGTAATTAATTTAAACAAAATTATTTAATTAATTATTATGATGTTTTTAAATTTTAGATAGATTACATTAAAAATTAATTTTCTAGACTAAAATCATTTATCTTAAAATCATATTATAATAAAGTGCAAAATAAGCTTCATAATAAAATAGCACGCAATTATTTTAATTTGAATATATGTGGGAAAATTGTTAGAACATTAATATGAATGTTATGAAACACAATTAAATTAAGTTCTATCCAGTTATATATTTTATGATATTTAAAAAAAGAGATGATGAAAAAGAGATGTTAATTTATTAATTATCAGATTAATTAATTAATTTATTAATTAATTAATTTTATCAGTTAATTTATTAATTATCACACGTGTGATAAAAAAAAATACTATAATGCTGGAAAGAGCGCGCATGCTCTCGACGAAAGGGAGGCGCATTCGAGAGTTTGTGGCCAGTTGAGTTCCGTATTCCATTCAGTTTACCGGCACTATTTGCACGGTTCGGGTTCCTTCTAACACGTGCAGCTTGACAGACCGATGATGACAGGAAACGCATCACATGGCTGCAATGTTGTCGTAATTTTAATCAGTTGCCGATGCGCGTTGAAACGGAAGTCACGGGTCTGTGCATAAGCAAGGAACATGTTTCGAACCACCTGTGAAGGCAACCTGACGAGAATTACGATCGAAACGTTGCGTTGCGTGAAATTCGATAACGTGGATACATTAGTCTGAGTAGATCCTCAATCTCGTGGATTTATTTGCGTCAAAATTGTGAGTGACATCTCGATGCGCGATGTACAAATTGTCCACACTCGATAGAAACAAAATAAATCATATTTAATATACAACAAGTAAGAGTTAAAGCCTATAACATTAAAATCATGTTCAATCCTAGGAAATGCGATAGCGGGTATACGTGATCTGATAGAATTACTTAAAATTAATAAATCGATGATAAATTATCGGTTCCAGGCAGATTGAATCGGCGATTCATTAGAATTGAGTTAATCAGAAAGTTTGATTTTTGAAAGAAAAGCAATTAAGGAAATGATTAAAGCCCTACTAGTTAGCCGATAATTCATTAAGTTCGTCTCTTCTAAGAGATTGTTGAATCGGTTTTCTCATTAATTACAAACAATGTTGACTTGCGTGATCCTGTATTTCGATATTGGAATTGCTATACCAGAAAGAATTTTTGCTAAATGACATGGAACGTATTTTGTCAATGAAAGCAATTACTCGTGGAATTTAGAATTCTGTTGCGGCGAATTTAATCACATGTGTTGATCAATCATAAATTTCGAATATAGGATATGCGGAATGCTTGCGCAATTGCAATAGGTTGCTGATAATGGAAACATGTGAACCATTCTATTAAGATCGATGGTAAATATTTCAAACACTTTAAACTTTCGATGATTCTTCTGGCGAACTCGAGAAACGCTAAAGATATTGCTGTAGACACATTCTTGTTTCTAACTCGTCAATTGATAAGTAATTTTTTATGAGAAATTACGCGGAAATGGAATTAGAATTTTATTATAAGATTTTTATAAAGATAATGCGAAAAGGAGCTTTGCTGAGCAAATTTAATATTAGTTTATATTAAATAGTTTAGTATATTTTTTTTTAATTTAATCTGGTAAAAAAGTATATTTAACACATTTTGAAATAAAAGTATATTTAACACATGTCATTTTATTTGATGAATTAGACTATACATTCAGCAAACGAATTCTGTTAAAGTTACTCATAAGTAAAGCTACATCTAAAGAAGTGAGAAAGTTAATAATGTTAATCGGAGACGGAATACGTTTCCTCGAGTCGCGAATTCTCCTCAAAGTTATAGAAGATAAATATTCGTCCAAAGCTTTCTGCAAATTAACATTTTCACCGTCTAATCTATCCGATCAAAGCAATAAATGGAATTCCCGTTTTAAGTGAAGAAGTCAATCATTTTGCGAAATGATCAAATTTTCGCTATCTCGTTGAGAGCTTTCCACACCGTATCGAGATAATTAATGGTGAATGTATCACGACCAGAGACTGATGATGTCACTTAACATTTCCGAATCGGCGAAAGTGGTGGCTATTTTAAAACAGAAAACGGTAAGCCGGATTCGCGTCGCGAAACACCGTGGTGCTATTGCGCACCTGCGATTCCTAATGGATTTTCTCGGGCTGCAACCCAACACAATCCGTCATCGAAACACACGAAACTCCAATGCCGAAAATTGTCGCGGCACGACGGAAAGTGCTACCGACATAAAATTAAAATTCCTCCTTCGAAAATGCAAGAGAAACCGACGTAATCGTGCTTGTACCTGTAAATACATAACTCAAACGGCGAGCTACCTGATACCTCCCTCCACCTAAGTGAAAATACATGATAGCGTGAACGTATCATGTCACGAGGATACGTGATAGTGGAAGAATATGAAATAGTCTAAAAACGAGAAAAGAGAGAAAAAAAAACAACGAAAGAACAAGAACAAAGTGCATTTTAATTCCGCGCTTGAAAACATGCTGACAACGATGTCTACCGTCGCGTTCGAATTGAATTCGTCTTATTATACAACGGCGATCGGGAACAGCGCGCTCGATGGATTCTCAGGTACTTCCAAGATTATATAGTCGTAAAACGATGGTACTACATTAATTAAAAACACTCGAGACACTTATCGTGAAATATGTCTAAAGGATCTTAAGTATCTTGTAACTACATAATTTCAGTAATCGAGTCGGAGAATGCTACTTCTGCGCTGTACATGCTGCCTGCCTACATACGAACGACTTCGATGGTTGCTTGCATTATTGTGATGATCTTAGGGATAGTAGGCAATCTAATGGTAATTTTAATTTACATTTTATTAATATCAAATACAAGTAACATACTTACGTTAGACTCCGCGGATGGTGTAACGTATCTAAATATTTATATCGCGATACATATAATTCGCAACCAATTGGGATATACTAAATGAAGTTAAAGTAAACGCAAGTGATTCTGAATTTGAGTTCTCTTTAGTGCAAAAGCCAAATATAAATTATTAATATTTGAATTTTATTAAATTGAAATAAAATAAAATAGTAATATTAGTGGGAGACTCCAAGAATAACTAAATTTAATATAAATAAAAATGCCTGTGAGGACTTAAATTCCGAAATTTTTGCGTTTACTTTAACTTATTCATTTGATAAGTACATCTCAATTCGTTGCGAATTATATCTATTACAATGTGAATATTTAATTTACGCACCAACATTCCCCTTACAAAAATCTAATACTGGCAAATGTATTATTGAATGATAATTAATTATTTTGGAATACAAAAAGTATTAAACAACAGTGCTTTTAATACTTAGAATAATTACTGTCTTTCAGTATTGGTTAGTATTAGATTTCTGTAAAGGTCGGAGGTTCACATAGGTATTTTACTTATATTAGACATATTTTGGGAATCTACTAATATTATTTTATTTCAATTTATTAATATCAGTTGCAATTGCATTTACAATCAATGAAATATGAAGAGTATAATTTAATCGCCGTTTTTATTTGCAATTCGTATTCGTTATCACTATTGATGTATCAATCTTTAGAGTCGGTTGCTGTAGCTCTCGCGTGTAATGTCCTCAGGTGCCGTTGGTCGTGTTACGGGGAAAAGACATGAGGAACAGCACAAATATCTTCCTGGTGAATCTGAGTGTCGCCGACCTCTGCGTGCTTGTGATTTGTACGCCTACAGTGTTAATCGAAATCAATTCTGGCCCGCAAATCTGGCCGCTCGGCGAGCATATGTGTAAGTTCAAACCAATTGCGTGAAAAAGCATGACGTATTTTGGTATAGATATCTATTCCTATCATCAACCGCGTGCAGCAGCCACTCGACGTGGCGCAATGATTTGTCAGGTCGGCTAAATCCAAAAATACCGAACATCACATATTTCTTCAACGGACATTGATAAACCCATGTCATCCCTTTTTCTTTTTATGAGCCCACGCGTGGTTCATTAACTAACACACACATTTCTATTGCGTCACGGAGGCTCGAATATTCGAACCAATTCTCGTCTCAAATTCGTTGGAATTCCAGTTCACAGTCGCATTCTCTCAAATATTATCATACACAAAAAGCAAATTATGGTAATACTCATATATTGATGTAATTATCTTATCATATTTTTTATCTATTTTTATTCTTCGAGTTATTATGCCATAAAATGAGTTTATACAAATTTCATCTAGTTTTATCACGTATTGGCCATGATAAATGTAATATTTGAATAACATACATGTATAATGTGCATTTATAAATATGCATATATAACTATACGCATAACATGACAAATTATATATACATATATTTAACACATGATAAATTGATAACATACGTGTATTACTAAAATAGTTAATATTAATTTCTATATTGCGACAATTAAAATTCTAACTAAGGCTTAGTTGAAGATACGTTGAAATTCGATATCTACGTTTTACGACATATAAGGAAAAAAAAAATTTAAATTCGATGCTATGATTAATTGTGCGCGTATATGTTTTATAGGAAGTAGAAAAAAACGCACTTTTCTTTGGTTGCAATTTAAACGTCAATATCATTGGACGCTAAAAGAATAATTTAATTGATTCGTTTTAATTTGTTTCGCATTGCGGTAGAATGATGGATGCAAACTTTTATCTGGAGTGAACGGAAACGTCATTGCATCGCAGAAGCATTACTGATTTTTTAAAATTGGCAGAAAGTATCCGATCTCGTTTCATCTTCATACATTGCAGATCTATCAATGCGCTCGCAGATACTGATTAAATTGCAAACTCGAATCAATATGAAATCTAACTTAATTTCATTCCATTTCTCTCAGCTGATCATATCATTGTTTGAGATAATGTTGCTCGATTTTTGACAAAAACAATAGGAATTGTTTTTACGTACGAAATGTCGTTCTACTGAATGTCGTTGTGGTGGTTATTGTTAGTTTTTTTTTTAACTTTTTTACAATATTAATATTTATTCAAATTTATTTTTCGAATTGACATATAAATAAATCTTTTTATTCTGTATATTAATATCTAATATAATTTGATTTTCCATATTTATCCGAATTATAATAAAATTTGTGGTTTTTCTTAATCAATTTTTTTGTACATATAAATACATACAATTAAATTAAGAAATGAACTAAATTTAACTACATGTTGTATTTTAATATATTTATTTTTATTTTATATTTTCCTCTATCTATTTTTTATTTTGAAAAGCAATCTTTATAAGCCTTTTTTGAAATTATTAATTGTGTTGCATGGAAAAAACTTTAGAGAGAATATCCAATTTGGCCAGTTAATATTGGCGATTATTATCGGAAAATCAATTTTGTTTCTATAAAAGAAACGAGAGTGCCCCACTTTTGTAGCGTTAGTTTCTTGATAATCTATATTGTAGGAACATATAAGGAAGAAGGAGACAGAAAAAGAGGGAGGTTTAGAAATCCTTCTGAAACATCACATGAGTGATCGTACACTACAGCTATTCAAACTTTCACGAGCTTAGTACGAAGATGCGAAAATATCTGAGAGAAAAATGCTGTCGACACAAAAATAGTTTTAATCTTTTTCACCATGCGGAGTTAATTGCGAACAAATGTGGCGTATCATGCACAAATATCGTTGAAAAATCATAATTATTATACCATTGTCAAAATCCAGTGATTACTGCTAAATTAAAATGATTTTTTATGAAATGAAAAGAACGCTGTAAGCTGATATCTTTTTCTGTTACGTAATTAAAATGACGACAGCTTTTTTTAGTAATTAAGACTCGTTAAAGAATGTTAGTATCTATCGGTAACATTACTTTTCGATCAAAACATCGCACTTTAACAAACTAGCTTTTCAAAATATTCTTATAAATGTTTGATTAGTTAAACATTGTATATTATGATACAATTAAATACTTTTTTAAATAAATTTTAGTTTTTGTGAAATGATTTTTTTTGCTACGATGTAAATTTATGAAAACTAAAATATAAAATTGTATATTTTGTAATTTATTATTTTGAAATTATTGTGTGTTATAATATTAGTTTATATCATAATTTATGTATTTAGGAAATTATATTATAATAATATATATGTATATATATATATATAATATATATATATATATATACAAAAGAAATAATTATATTATTAATGTTCAAAATCAAAATAATTAAAATTCAAAGCCATGTGTTTGATATCATAATTTCATTTTTTAATTTTTCACAATTGAGCAAAAAAATTATAGTAAGAAGTCGCCTTTTTATTCGTAAAAAACATAGTTGATTTTTTTCTATTACGTGTATCTTTTTCTCTTGAGATTGATCTCTTTATCTCTATAAAGATAGGTTAGGAAGGTTATCAATAATAAACTGATTAAAACTGACAACAAAAAGATCAAACAAAACCTTTTGAAAATTTTTTACATAACTTTACAATATTTTAAACGCATATAAAAACATTTATTGCGCGTGAAATATGCAGAGTTAATCGACTAACCTTTTAATTACTAATATTTAATAAAAATTGCAATTGTTAGCGATTTATTTACAAACAGTCACAAAAGATTAACGTTTGCTAAGGTAAGGGTAATATCCTGCGGGAGTTTACTAATTGCTGGACTACAGTATTGTTTACTGTCAATTTTGATCTATTTGTGATATAGTGGCAAAGGATTCAAATTTAATAAGAGTTAAATTGTGAAGTTAAATTCAAAGAGAGTTCGGTTTATCTCACGGGAATTTCTCTCTTATGTATTTTTTCATGTGAAATGCATTTTTTAATCAACATCCTGTTTTTAATTTTCAACTGTAATAGTCAAAGCAAATTCTATTATATAGATAATAGAACAATATTAAGAAAAGCATGTAATTTTTTAAAATTAGATTATATATACCTATATAAAATATTATATTTATAACAAAAATCTCTTTAAATAATTTTTTAACAAAACAGACTATAATTTGAAACTTACAATTAATATTTTTTTGTAGCAATAAACTTTTTATTATATTATTTAAATTAAATTAAATTAATTAATTTAATTTGCTTTTTTATTAACATTATTTTTTAAATAAATATAAACAATAATTTTTTAAAATTATTTTTAAATTAAACGCGACTATTTATATGATGATAATTAAGTTATTTATGGTAGTTACGTACGTATTTTGTTTGAGAACAATCTAAAATAACAGTAAAGAGATTAAAAGTCATATACCAATTTTTGCTTTACGAATAAACAATATTATTGCAATCTACGAGTGAGCACATAAACAGAGTGTACAACTTTCATAAATCGCATTTATTACATTGTCAAGAGAAGTCGTGTTTTCTTAGAAGGATAATGGAACTGGCAATATAGTACAACTAATATTTAAATCAATATAAATAAAAGGTAAAAAATATCAAGCTTTTATATACATAGTTAAAATAAAAATTAATATTTTTAACGACATTATATTTCTTCCAGAAACTTTTTTCAACAAATTATAGAACAATTTAGCATATCGATGAATTAATAAATGCTTTTTTTTATTAAAATAGTTACTCATTTTATTTAAATAATTATTGTTCATTGTATAGTTTCGTTATTATTGAAACTATTACCATTTTTTTTTATTCATTTGCGTTAATGACATAAAGATAATGACTCAGTTTTACGTTTTCTTTAATATCTCTCTTTTATGGCGCAGTTATTAAAAATGTTTTAAGAAGCAATTAGTTCTTTTGTCTTATTATGCTCGTAAAGCTTAGTCAATCATTGAAAATGAAATGGAAAGGAAAAAGGATATATTATATATATTACTTTATAAAAATCATTTATTATAAGTTAAATCAATAATTATTCGATAATCAGATATTTCTAATATATACTCTCATGATATAAAAATATTAATATAATGCGAATACAAATTAAATTTATCGATTATGAATATTTTTCAAAATTGACATTCAATATCCAGTTGCCGCCAATTGTTTGCACGTGAATGATACGTTTTATTTACACGTCAAATAATTTTCATTCGATCAGTGCTACTAACGGACGAACATCGAGATGCCTGTGCTCGTAAACCATTGGTACCATATGGCGTTGCAAGGGCGAGAGATTCTTCTACAATTCCGTACGAGCGACCGCCTATATATTTCGACTCCCTGATCTCTTTTGCTCGGAAGAATGCAAGAGACGGCGAAATGCGGAGGCAACGGGAGGATCGAATCAGCCAGCGGGTAGCGAGAACATCGTGAGGGGTCTCTATGGCTATATGAGATGCGTTTATCGTGGAGGGTCGCGCAAGGGTGGTCCAGATGGGGTGTGGTGTAAAGAGGGGGGGTAGCATTTAGGCGCGTCTGGGTTTTATGAGGCGCATACGGCGACGCGCGTCTTAAGTCGATGTCCTCCTCCTCCTCTTTTCCTTGACACCAGCATACCTCTCGTCCAGCATTCCTTCGAAACACTGCCCGCTCTCACGGTCGAGGCCGCGTTAACGTTTATTGCGACGTAAAACTTCTCATGACGGTATAATCACAGGTATTTCACTTAGAAAGTGAAAAGTTTCCTTACACTCTCGCGATGATAAATCAGTCTAGCTCGTGCACGTCGTGATTATGTTCATGGAATTTTAATTATGTTCTTCGACTATTTCCTAAGCCTAGTAATTCTATTCGGAATCATTAATTCTCATTGCGCATTGTAACCTTATTATCCGTACAGCTATCCCTATTGTTAATTATATAATAACGATTTTT